TGGTTGGACTGGATGATCTTAAAGGTCCTTTCCAGCCTAAACAATTCTATGATTCTATGAGTATCTTTTTCTAATCATAGAGTTGTCATCCTGGACTGAAACAATTGTTCATCCCATTTGGAAACCTGATCTAACAGCTAAAATAGAAAGCCTTTGCTACCCTGTCTTGATTCAGTTATTGATTCAAACACACAGCTCAGGATGGGCTGTCCCAGCATCTGGACATTGTCTCTTCCTAGCGACCAGCCACTTTCAATTAGATATCTCACTGTTAAATCACTAAAATTAGGAGGAATAAGCTGGCCCTTAGTACCTCTCGTCCACATTGCCTAGACTAAATGGGGATGATAACACCAATAGGCTTGCCTGTGCATTTGTGGGGTGCCTGCCTGCAGGCAACCATGATCTGGGTCCCTCTATCATACATCTGCTCCTTGGAGTCATCTTTGAATTTTACAAGGTGGCCTTGTCATGCTTCCTGCACTCCGCGTCCTCAGGAATAACAATCAATCATTTTTTTCCGTCCCAACAGCCACTCGGACAGTGATGCCAGGGAGGCTGCTGCAATTACCAGCCAGTACGTTTGCCCCATCTCTAAGGAGCTGGTTACAGAGATGAAGGAAGATACAGGCCGTTTCAACTGAAGGTGAAGGCAAATAAACAGCCAAGGAGATGGCTTTGCATGTATGTAGCCTTGAAAATAAACAAGGAAGCTATTGAATTTGCTTAGGAAAAAATCTTGAGATGAGCAAATAAAAGAAAATTCTAGAAAGCAGCCAAAACCCAACAAAACCTTTTCGATTATCAAGAGTGAAATATATGTTAGTGCAAACTGGTGTCAGTAGATGGAGCCTGAATGAAGCACATCACTTCCACTTTGTGTTAGCATCTGGCTGCCTGCTTCTGAAGTCAAATAAAGATTTGTTAGCTATGCCCGTGCTTTGGCTGTTCTTTGGGAAACGGCAATAAGGGTGGGATCGTTACTAGATGTTGGACCATTAGGAGGGCGGGGGGGGAGAAGTATTTTGCCAGGCTTTCTCCACCGGAGGGGATGTTTGCCAGGCTTCCCCCACATAAGGCATGCTGGGACTAGCTGGAGTCCCTGGCCACATCTTCCGTGGCTGGGACTCAGCACTGCTCACAATCCAACTGTACAGAGAAGCCAGCATCGGGGCCTCCATTTAGCAGAACCTTAGTTGGGTGCTAGAGTTTATTGCAAAGAAATGTAGAGAGCTACACAGCATAGACACACACTGTAAATATTGTTTCCACTTCATTCTGCCCCTGTATTTACTCGCCCAGCTTTCTCATAGCCACTAAAGATAAAGCTCCACTAGGAGGAATTTGTTCCCACCATTTAATGAGGTTTACATGCTGTCCCTGCATCACGCTGCCTGGCAGATTCTCTCCTCTGATAGAACAGCAACTCCACCTTTCCTGTAAACCCAACAGATTTTGAAGAGCAGCTCTAAAATAAGGCATCTTCAGCTGCGACCATGCGTGCCTACCACAGAACTGCTCAGTCCATCCTGCACCATTAGTTTTCACCATTTATGATGTACCTGACATCTGCAAAGAAGCTAGCCCCTCCCAAATGGTAATCTGAGCACCCATTCCCTTACTGTGATGCTGAAATGCTGTTCTCACGGACCTTGGCATTTGTTTATTTTGGTCCATGGGAAATCTCTGCTAGGAAAGAGACCTCTTGGAGGACTTTTGAAAGGAGTGTTGACAGTCTGTATTTTGTTAAGCCACTAACGGCCATCTGGCTAAAATGCAGCATCTGAGAACTGTCTGAAATCAACTGGGGTTTTAAAAGAAGCAGGGAGAGCAGCTGTCCCCTTTCTCCCCCTACACAATGGGCAAGTTGAAAATAATGGTGTTTCTTTGCATAAGTGGCCAAATGCCTTGCCACATGATATTTGGCTTGGAAAAATTTACACAGGCTCAGAAAAAGACAGGACAAGACAGCAGAATAGCATGCTATTGAGGCTTCAGGAAGCTGCTGAGATGTAAATGTTTGGAGCCTGGATGGAGATTCTGGGGAGCATCCCTACAAAGAGCCACTGCTAGCAAACAGTAGAAAGGGACATGCATTGTCCCTACAAAGTTGCTGGATAATCACTGGGCTGTAGCTGAGTCCAGTCTCTGTCTCTGGATCCACTCTGCTCACCTTGCAAGGGTGCTGTAGGGTGGTTGGGAATAACAAGATTGTCTCAGAAACATAACTGATTATCTCAACCCAAGGACTTACACATGGCCTAGCTCCTTCCTTTACCATCCAAACAAAAGAGCAGCCAAGATGGCTTTGTCTTCACTGAAACCTTTGCCTTTTCCAGAAATAAAGATAAGACATTTGAGAGCTGGCTTTTTAATTTTTTTAAAAAAAAAAAAAAATCTGTTTTTCAGGAACAACATGGCAGACTGCAACTAGAAGAGAGAAACTGTAAGTCATGGGCTAGAGAGCAAACCCTGTTATAAAAGGGAATGTGGGCCATGCAGAAAAAGCCTGGCTAAAATAAATAAGATATAGAGGGTATAGGAGCATCATCATGCCTTTTTCAAGGAAACGATCTGACAAAAACAGACCCTATCTCTGGCACATCAGAAACATAAATTTGCCCACTACAGATAGCTTCCTAAGTGTCAGCCCTTGTCCTCCTTCATGCTCATCTCAGGGGGCTTGGCTCTGAATTCTGAAATGCTTCAAATATATCCTTGGTGCTACAAAGAGGTTAGGATAGGAAAGACCCGGGAACAAAGTAGAAACAGGAACTTATGCGTTATCATGTTCCGTGACTGGCAAATGTCTTTCAATAAATCATCCAATGAGGCAAAGAGGCAAAGGTTGAACTGCTGCAATTCACTCCAGCCAGCCACTGTTTTTTGCCTTCATGAAGCAGTGAACGCAGGAGACGGCACTGGGAGAAGCAGGGAGAGGAGAGGATCAACTTAATCAGAAACAGGGATTTTTCAACAACTGGCAGCTCACCATGGCTGTTTCTTTGCTGTTTCTTCACTGGCTCCTCACTTCTGTGCTCTGTCTGCTGCCCTTCATAACACAGGTTTCAGCACAGCAACAAGGTAAGCTCTTGCAGGAGGTCCATGACCTCAGAGGAATAACTCCCACGGCAGCAGGTTGCACCATTATAGGTGGGAGATGTTTACACTCTTACTCCAACACAGCTTTGTTCAATGACCTTCTCTCCAATAGTAACCAGCAGGGTCTCGGGTCTCACGTCTCACCAAACTCTGTCACAATGTGAATTCCTAGGCAATTTTGTGTCTCATTTGTGTGTTTTTCCAGGATGTTCTGTCAGTAATAGCAATCCAACTGTTTATGAAAATAACCCTCCTGGCTACGTGGTGACCACTATCCGTATGGGACCAAACTTCACTGTACAGATTGATCCTGCTTCCTCCGATGTCAGTTTTTTTGCTCTACAGGGGAACGAGCTGCAGCTGATCCGAAGTGTGGACTATGAGGTAAGCCTTTAGCTGGCAGGCTGTAAGGATGAGCTGGATAATGCTGGGATGCAATGAGTTTCAACCTGGGGTCTTGGACTTCAAGGGATTCGTAACCTGTTTCTAAAGGATCTAGGAAATAACTTTGAAAAATAAACCTTTTTCAGCTGGGTTTGAGTTCACTGCTTGGGAGATCAGCCCTTCCATAAGCAGAGTATAGGGAGGAGGGGAATGCATGGTATGCCTGCTGTCACCTTCCATACAATAGTCTGTATGAATTAAAGCAAGGGGAAGTTTTAAAACCAAAAGACAATTATAGTGTTCAGAGCTCTCCAGGCTTCATGTAAAGTGATCCCTGATGGCCTGTAGAAAACACAGTTCTGATCAGTGAGGTGATTTTGTGTGAAGCATAAAAGCAGCATAAAAGGTCAGTGTGTTCAGTTAGGTTGCTGCTAAATTATTTTACCTACCTGTAGCACTCTGTACACAGCCACAAGCATCCTTAAGCTGCCTTTCCCCTACTGTAAAAACCCACATTTATTTGAGCAAAGAACAGCAGAGTTAACACCCTGCACGTGACACTGTACTTGCTGCATGGTACATTTCTGTTTCATTCAACTTAAAAAGAAATCTCTGTTTGAATTCACCTGAAGTGCGAGAAAATGGCCGATTAGCTCTGCCGACATGTTACAGGAATCACAGGGAGAGAAGCTGGAAGATCGGTCTGCTTTGACTCCAGCATAAACAAAATCCCAGCGCTGATGGATGGCTGTAAAGGAAAGAAAGGAAAAGTTAGATATGCCTGAAAACCAGATAAAGCTCAGCAGAATTTCTGATTCAGCAATGCATGTATTTGTCTCATTTACTTTAGAAGGAGTTAGTACATTTTAGCTTGTTCCTACAATGGCGCGTTTTTTGTTTTTGCATACAGAAAGACACCTTGCTGCTGGTGAGCCTGATTTGTCAGAACGCTGCTGGGCAGGTGAGTGCTCTTCCCAACACTCAGCCCTGCTACAAGGTACTGCGGGGCAGCACGTACTTCCCTCTGCTCTTCCTAGTCCCCAGACCGCGATGAGGAGATGACCTTTTCTTTGTGGACATACACACTCCTCTCATAGTCAGAGAAGGAGCACCCAAGGCTCTGCGAATGGGGAGGGGGTGGGAACACACCTACAACCCCTCTACCCCCCCACTATGGGCTGGCTGCAAGCTCCAGCCCCATCCAGCCTCCATCCAGCTGGGATCCTTACACCATCCCCTCTGGTCACTCTGCAAATCAGGATCAGCCCCTAACAGTCTTATTTTTGCCTTTGATTCTCTTGCTTTACCCCTTCTGCAGAGGAATTCTTTGGATCTTCATGTGATCATTCTCAACATGAACGATAACAGCCCAGTGTTTAAGCAAACGAATCTCACCAAAGTTATTCCTGAGGTAAGCATTTTACAGAAATGAAGAGAGCACTGGGCCACCCAGTTCTGTGACTGGGTCGCCCAGTGCTGTGGGACTAAGGAAGGGTTAGCAGGGAGTACTCTTCGGCCCATTTCACAGAGAGAATAACCACAGCAACTTTGTTTCAGGATACAAAAGTGAATGCAACCATTGTAGACCGTGAACATTTAAGCGCTAGCGATGCTGACCTGGAAACCATATTTTATGAACTCACAACAACAGTGCCGGTGAGCATCTTTGTTCTTTGGGGAAAAAATGGTAGCTCTGGAGAAGTCTTTGTGTTTAATTCAGAAGACCCCCAGCTTTGGGGCTGAGGTCACTCTATTGTGTTTAGTTCTCTGACAGCTTCTGGAAGAGGTATGTCTTTTGCAAAAACCAAATGTTTGTTCAGCAGAACAGAGCAACCAATGTTGCAGGTATTGAATTCTTTTACTGCTCACACTTTTATTACACTGTACAGATTAAACTTTCATCTAGGATATTCTGAGCCATAAGATCCAGGGAAGTCTTGTTGGGATGGTCTGTAAACATATCAGAAGAGACCTTTGTACCTCACAGAGTTCAGAATTGCGCTGAGTCAGATAGCCAAAGGAGTTATTGCCCTGTTTGCCAACAGTGTCCATGCAGATTGGAGATAACATGAGCTGCCCGAGATCACACAGAGAGTCTTTGGCAAAGCCAAAGGCAGACTCCACTTTCCCCAGGTCCCAGTTTAGTGCCTTAGTTTATTTGCACTTAAGGGGTTTGCTTGGTAACATAGGAAGTGAATTGTATGCACAGTTAAACTGATGCCAGTCTGGAGTGCAAGGGCTAGAAACTATAAATTCAAGAGAAAAACAAAATGTATATTTACATTTTTAGAAAGCCTTGCAGAGTGAGCAGGCAGTGTCTGACATTCTGCCTCCATTACCTCCATAACCCCAGGGATTTTAAGGGTTGTGAACAGAAACCACAAGTTTTTGAATTTCAGCTATGGGACTAAACTTTACACTCACATTGGTGTAAATCCAGGGGGATTTAGAAATCCAGAGGAATTCTAGTCACAACATAAGATTAAAGGAGAACCAAAGCAAGAGCAGAAGGCTATAGAGTAAAATGCAACCTATGTTATTTCAATTTAGCTTTACAGTTGCTTCCAAAGTTCAGTTGTGCTAGGCTAAGGCAAGTGATCTTGCCAGCTCTCAGAGGCTGAGCCATCTTGATCTGTTTTGTGCATGGATGTGAGAATGCTTGGCTGTCATGGACCCAAAATCAAGGATTGTTGGCAGCCTGTTGAGTGTAGGAAATAAATGAGGTAAAAGATTTCATCCAGTACCTGCTGAGCAGGTAGGCAGGCAAAGCAGGGGACCTTGGAGAAGAAAACTCACAGGAACATGAACAAACCTTTCTGACAAGCCAGGCAACTCCTCTTGTGCAATACTGAAGATTAAATAGATCTGGCATTCTCACACTGCCGCCCTCCCCAAGGTCCCCAGGCTTAAAGGTCTGACTGGGATGACAAGGAGCAATGAGCAGTATTTTGAACATGTCTGCAATTGAGTCTGCTAGTAGGGTTTTTCTTTTCCCCCCTCCAGGACACAAACGGTTATTTTGCCATAAAAGGAGTTAATAACCCAGAAATTTATTTACAAAAAGCATTGGACTATGAGAAATTTAACTCGACAACGTTGGTCTTGTATGCAAGGGTAAGTTCTTTAGGAGGAACAAAATGCCTCGGAATGAGAGATCTCTGGGATGGCAGGAGGGAGGGTGGATACTGGGGGTGGTGAATTTGGAGCAGCCTTCCACCCCCCCTAATTACACAGTGACTGTGTCCAGCCCTGCATTCAGTCCACCTTTGTCAGCAGAATGAGATAATTCACTGCTTTAGCTAATCTCATATAAACTGCTAAGCCTTAGACAGAGTGGGCTTAGAACAACTAAAATAACCTGGGCTGCTGGCTTTTGCAGATGGGTTCTTCTTTTCACAATAAAACTTGCATCTCATGAGTATGCTTTGCCTTTGGGTACAGGACAGGCCTGTGAACAGCCTCGACACCACCAACACAGCTACTGCAATAATAAACATATTTATTGAACAAGCTGACACCAGATCACCCTGGTTCCTACCCTGTAATTTCATTAACAGGGACAAAAGCATTTGCATCAGCAGCCCCTATACTGGGAGGGTCAATATCTCAGAGATCTCGGTAAGCAGCCATGATCAAACAGTATCCTTGATGCTATTCTCAAGCTATATCCAGATGCTATTCCCAGTGGGTAGTGCCTAATAATTTGCATGAGCTCATGCTGATCTCCAGTCATAAATGCAGATGATTCAGCATGACAGACAGCCTTCATTGTCCTGGAAAGTGGAGGTTCCCCTGCCCCAAGCAGCACTGCTTGTCCTTGTTGCTACAGCACATCGCAGGAGAGGCAAGCACTGGAAAACCCTTTGCTCTAGGCTGTCTCACCTCTGCCCTGTTACAGCCATTTTCCAGCAAAGAATGCCATTCTGCCCAGACAAAACCACCAGAGCCACGCTGGGGCGGGAGAACGCTGCAAACGCTAATTGGGTACTGTAACGTGGTATGTAACGCTTTGCCTTGTTATTGCAGACGGAACCACTCGTCCTAGAGCCGGGGCCTATCTGTGCTATTGATCCTGACTACATGTTAAACGAAAAAATCGTGTACAGTATTGTTGGTGGTGAGTACAAGTTGTCACCTTCCACAAACTGCATTGCTTCTATGTCCCCTACATTACCTGCCAAGAGGAGATACCCTCCACGGCACTTGAGAGTTGAGGACCCGGGGAGTTGCCCCTCTGCTTCTACCACAGAAACATAACTCGATCCACAGAACATTGTTGATTAAGTAGAAGAAATGGACTGTACAGAGAGGAAGAAAAAGAGAATTACAGTCCCACAAAGCAATCTCCATGATATCTGTTTCAAAAGGACATTGGTTTTTTGGGAGGTGAGACGTTTTATCTTAAAGCTTTTAGACTTGATTTCGCCAGTCTGGTCATACCACTTTCACTCAGTCTTTGAGCTAAACCTAAAATTCCCCCATCATCAGCATAATTTTCATTCATTGCCAAGAACTCTGTTTTTATTCGTTGCCACTGCACATTGCCACTGTCTAATCTACCCTGTTTTAGTCGTAATTTCAAAAAGATTACTTGAATACAGTCAACTGATTGCCCAATCATTGAGGGGGACATTTATTTCATTTTTGTTTTTTTAAACAATAGTGGGGTTTTGAATAACTCTCAAGGCAAAGGTAGATCATATTGGTCAGGTGGAGCGATCACTTGTTCATCTCCCTTCACCTATGCCACATGGCATCAGATCTGTGAATATACTCCTGATAATAAATACATTAAAGAACCTTAAATACCACTGGCATTTTGGATGTAGTGTGGCCTCCCTACCCCACAGTCCATAGGGAGCCCCAGACTGAGGGGTCCTTGTCTAAATACAGCCCACAGCATCTCAGAGTGAGTAAGAGAACTTAAAATTTTGCTTATATTTTAACATACATCCAACATAGATGTTTTTATGATTCAAACAGAGATTAGAGATGTAGGAAGCTGATTTAGCAGAATTTAAGCTGGCTGTATCTGGGCCTAGGCACTGGAGATGCAAAGCTTTGCTGTGCTACCTCATCTAGTTGGGTTCACATGCATCTTCTCGATGCTTTTTGTCTGTTGAGTCCCTCTGAATCCCTGGGCAGCACTCCCAGCCCTTTGAGCAGCCAGGCAGGCAAGGAAAACAGCATTATGCCCTGGGGGTATGGTCACTAAGATGTGAAAAAATGAGTCAATGAGCTCCAGGTCACCTTGTGAAGGTATCTGATGATTTAACAGTCTTTCCATTTTCTTTAGGGGATGCAGACAAAGTATTCTCAGTGGATGCAGACACAGGGAATCTAACTATGAACAAAGCAGCAACTTCCCCAGACTCGTACCTATTGCAAGTCATGGTAAGTCTGACAACATTGCAGACAACAACTCAGCATAGCTGGCTTTCTAGGCAGCAGCAGTCCTGATGTGACAGGAGTCAATTACATTAATAATCAAAGCTAACTCAGTTACACCCTTTCTTTTGGAAGGGCCTAATATTTGACCAGTGTCTTATACCAACTTACATGCAAACCTGTTGCAGAAGTTAAGAGGCATTCTCCCTTATGTGTGGGTTGCAACATCAAAGCAAATTAACTGAATGGGGACATCCTGCTGAGTTGAAAGTACAGAGGAGCATAACTGGAAGGCTTTCTTTTGGTATGACTGGAGCTTGTGTTACAGTAGTTAATATAACTCAACTCTAGAGACAAGCTCCTCTTTTGGCTACAGCTCAAGAGGAAAGGAGGGAGTCGAAGAGCACTCCCTGCACATACATACCCAGGAAGATGTGGACTCTCAGGCAGTAACTGAACTGACCCAAACCCTCATGAAGAGGAACAGACTCTGTCTGCTGGTGCTAGAATCTCTCTGCTTTGTACTGGAGCATGGCAATTTGTCCAGACTTGGCACTTATGGAGGGTCATATCTAGACTTTGGGGCTAGACCAAGACTGTGTGGAGGGCCAACAGCAGAAGCAAGCTAAAACACAAGGATTCCAAACCATAAGGCCACCTGTGAGAGGCCTGGCTCAAAGCTCACTGAAAATGATGGAAAGAACCTCATGGGTTGCAATGGGCTTCAGATCAAGCCTATCCTTTTACGTCTTATCACTAATAGGAAAAGCTAATATCTCTCTCTCTGTCTCTTTCTTTCCAGGCCACCCAGGTCAACAACATACAGAAATACTCCATAGCCACTGTAGAGATTAAGGTCATCAATAAAAGTCATTATGCACCATACTTTGAAAGCAGGATCTACAACGGGACAGTATTTGTTGGTCTGGCCCCAAGAAGCTTTGTCCTCCAAGCTGGTGATCCTTCAAGCCCCCTGATGATAACAGCAGCAGATAATGATTTCCCCAATGTGAGAAACTGAAAATGCACTGCATTCTTTCTCACTGCTTCAGGCTTAAAGCAGGATCAGAAAACATGAGGAAGGGGAAGTGGGGAGAGGCAAATGCATGTTTTCCTCTAGTATTCCATATTATATTTCCCTGGAAATTCCACATAGATCAGAACTGTTTATGGTGTGATGTAATGTGGAGAAGCTGCTGGACTCCTCTCTTCCAAAAGCCAGTCCCACCCAGATCTATGTAGGTGAGCTGATCCACAGCAAAACAGCATGATGAGTAAAGCCCAGGGTTAGCAAATACTGTGAACGGGGGTCCAGATCTGAATTAGCGCTGGGTGGAGTGTTTTCTTGAAGAGTTCAGGGTGGCAGGATCCCAGGCAGAGGTGTCCTCTCTCTGCCAGGTCATGGAGGGTTATTGTGGACTGGCCTGGGAAGAGGAGTCAGTCCCAAGACAGCAGACTAGCAAGGACCTGCAGTCCTGGGCTGGAAATTGTTAACTTTCTCCCTGTAAGGACTCACTTTGAAGGAGCCATTCTTGAACAATGTACTGGGAGAAGGAAAGGGGAAGAGCCATTCCCTGACCAGCCAAGCTCATCCTGTCCTATTAAATAAAGCAAAAAGTCCTAGTTTTATTGATGCCAAGGTTTCCATAACAAGACTGGAGACCTAGTAGAGAAATAACAGCCTAGACACAAAGGAAAAAATTGTGCAGACCTCAGCACGAGTATTATTCTCCATGTACATCCCCCTTTGGCACTGTATTAAAGGCAGAACCGATCAAATCTATAAGGTCGCTTGCATAGATATGTTTTGCTTGTACAAATGCTAAAGATACGAACACAAGCTGGGTAAAACTTAGGATTTTTTTTGAGGTAACACTTAGGATACATTCTTAAACTCTGAGCAACAGGGTGAACACACTTGAGTTCAACCTTTCTCACCTCCTCAGTCCAAATTTATTTATTGCACTATACACCTGCTCATACTTCAGGTGTATTTGACAAGTCCTGCCAACGGGTTGTTACAAAGATGCACGCAAAGCACAAACAGTGTGGTTTAATCATTCGCTCTTCTGGCTTTTCAGAAAGTCAACCCAAACATTGAGTACTACATAAAAAAGAGCACCGATTTCATCGCAACCAAAGATGGACTCATCCTGACAAACGTGACGCTGCAGTCACCGGGAACTGTAACCATCGAGGTAGGGCAACTTTCTTCATTATCTTGCCAGGGTCATGGAAGGAAGGGGTAGTTTCTAGCAGAAAAGTACCAAGGGTGGAATTCCATTAGGTAAGGGATATAATGAAAGGACAGTCCTTGACCCAACCATTTACATCATAAATGTATAGGGATGGAGAAAGATGAAGTGAGAGCAGATTTCCTCTGTGTGATATAGGCTACATCTGGTGCTAGCTGTAAATTTTTTTCTCTGATCCTGTGGAAAATATCATTGGATACAAGCAAAAAGTCAACTGGGGAGATTTTAGGAGCCCCTCTCCCACACTCTGATTCTGATTAACAAAAAAAGGAGGGCCAGCAAGTGGGTAGGAGATTGATGTGTAGGTATGGGTAGGGTATGATTGCTGGCATATACCCCAGCTCTGAGGGCTACAGACCCAAACTTGGAAATCTTTTGGTGAATCCAGTACTTTTTTTGCTCAGGTCAAAGGAAGCAGTTAATAACTGCTAGATGTTGCTAGCTAGAAGCTAGATGTTCACTTTGATCATCTGCCTGCCGGTGACAACTGGCTCCCTAAGACTTGCCTAGCACAATGTCATGCCCTGTGGAGCTCTCTGAACCAGCTTGACTATAGCATTGTTTTAGCTACATGGGCAGGGCAGAGAGAGGTGCCAACACATGCTGCTACCTGCCCCACACTACCTCATTATGTGTGTACAGCACTGTGCTGCAATGCTGTACACAAACGATGCACCTGGTTCTGGCCCAGGACAGGGAATCTTCAGAGCTCTTCTTCCTCTGTGACCAGATAGTCCAGCTACAATGCAGAGCTATTGTGAGGATATGGGCAAGGCACTTTGTCCGCAAAGGGCCCACCACATACCTTGAGAGTGAACTGGAGATCTAGGAAGCCCCTAAGCTATCTCTTTCCCATGTTCACAAAGGCTGTTGGAAAAGATACGGTGAGCCTGCAGGAGGCAAGCACTGTAATCGTGGTGGACATCGTCGTTGACACAGGTAGGCTGGGTGTCTCTTTGTTTTCTGCTTTGTGGAGATGACTAGGGAGTCCAGTGTGGGCAAACTGGCAATGACAGGTCACCCACTGAAGTCTGCGGACCTGGGCTGAGGCCAACCCCATACCTACAGGAGATTCTGCAGTGGCTATAAGAAAGAAAACACTCAAATAACATCCTTATGATGTGGTCACCAAGTGCCTCAAACAGCCTCCTGAGACTTTAAGTAGTGCTGTGTATTGCAGTGTCTTTTCTTGATATTCCAAAGCTAAATCTGGGGTTGCTTCATGCTGTTTTGTGGGTCAGAAATAACCCAGGATGTCTTATCATGGCAAAGGAGGGTCGCCCTGATGCCTTGGTATGTCATTGGTCTTTTTTAGCCCAAAATAGAGAAAACGGCAACATTATTTCCTGTCTTATGCAGAGCAGACAGAAGTTGGGACACCCCCACAAAGCCAGGCTTCCTTGTGAGCCAAGGCATTTTCTGCTCAGGTCAAATTCTTATACTCCAAGATTTTAAGGTCTTACCAGGAGAAATGACCCATGAGAAATAAGATAGACATGAGGCTGCATACATAACCCTCCAGCTATCACTTGGCTTTGTTGACGTAAAACTAGCTTACACCTCCATATTTCTTAGAAATGGCTCTTAAATAAATCTTATAAATCAGTTAGCTTTGAAGCTTATGAAGCTTCTTATGCTTTGGATTAAGATGAACCAATATCATGCATTTTCACTTCAGGATAGACAGATAATGCCCAGACTCCACTGGTTTCTACATGATGATGTGTGATTGAAGTTCCCAGTTGGGCTCTTCCATTACTTCACCCTCTGAACCATGACCATCATGGGGATTTCTGGAGGAAAAAAAGTGGGCTCCTGGGTGTAAATTTGGATTCCCTAAAGGTAGTGTCACTTCACAGCTAAAAACACTGGCTGCATAAAAACTACCTAAATCCAATTTAAGGGCACAGTCCAGCTCAGCAGAAAGCTAGTTCAGGTGTCAGTACACAGAGCTGCAAACACTCCAAACAGATATACCAATACTTCTATACAACTTTTAAATGTTGCCCTTGCTATTTCAACCCCACAAAATAATGATGCTGATGACTGTGCAAAAAAGTAGATTGAAATTACACTGAATGGCTCAGAGCCTACGAGATGAATTGTGCTTTATCCTATACTCTAGCCAGCACCCAGGAATGGCCTAAACAGAGCTGAGATTACCATTTGCCTGGCCAATCTGCAGGATATTTCACCCTCAGCTCTAAGAGGTGTTGTTAAGGAATGTGCACACAATGGGTTGGAGAGTGCTTTACTGAGTGTTACAATATCCAGGGAGAAACTAGAGTTGTTTTTGATATATCCTCCTTCTGGGAAGTGATAACTGTACATTGGCCTCTGGTTTCTGAGGCACTGGTGCTGGACCCAGCTCACACGGACCTCAAGGTGAGTCATTCCACCAAGTTGAGCTAGCTTTCACAGAGGCACTGCGTGCTGCACAGCACAGAAGGAATTAAGGGTGGGGGAGTTTCACATCAGCTCTGTGGGCTGTGGCTCCCTAGGAGCCATGATTAAGAAGCGAAAATTCACTGATGTCCTAAACTCTCACCAATGTATTAATGATAAACTGAGGGTGCAATCAAATGTGGAGGGAATACTCAAAGTCCATTGTCATAAACAGGTCAGCAGGAAAACAAAACTGTGTTTCATTAATGATTAAACGTTAAAGAGACTAATTTACACTATAAAATGAAGCTGGAAAACTTAAAGAATCCCACTGACAACAACAAGCAAAGCTGATTAACTGAGGAAGTTACTGTCTTTCCACTATCCTGTTATCTCCCTACAAATATGCTTACACTGACCGGTGGCTGAAAGCATAAGCCGCTCCTGAGAAGGATGGTGTATATTGCTACGGCTACAAAAAGGGCAGGAAAGGGGTTCCTGCCCTGGGGACCTTCTAATACTTTTCCTATTTCCTATTATGCTTTTTTATTTCCTATTTTAATGTGCTCATCAGTATCAGAGGTGATGTTCCTGATCAAAGGAAGCTTTGCATTTTCACACACATACGTACAAATGTACCTCATTTTTGCATGCTGGTGTAAATGGGTGAAGTGGGAATGTACAAGATCTACCTAGCTTTACTGCATGTAACATCTGCTTGCCTAATACAGTCACGTATATATTAGCTCTGTTAAATCATGGGGTAAAAGTTATTGTCCTGTAAATGGATGCTATTTCTACTTCATGTAACTTATTGGAAGTTACAATATTCTGTGAGTGGTCACCTTAAAAAAAACCCCTCTGCTTTCAGGACAACAAACAAATGGCCTTCTGTGACATTAACTATATCCCTGTCACATTCTGCAGCACAGGATGCTTCTTTGCCCTTCAAAAATTGGTTGGAGCTTCTCCCACAATGAAGTGTTGTGTTAAAAAAGCTAGCTGCCATTTTTAGGCTTTGTAACACTGGTTTGTTTTTCTTGTAGCTGTAACCTCCTCTGGTAAGACATACACGGCTCGGGACATGGCTATCTTAGGTGGTATATTAGCAGCACTGCTATTAATTGCCTTAGTTGTCCTTGGAGTGATGCTACTTAAAAGGCATGGAAAACCAGTCAAATACCTGATAAAGAAAAAGGTAAGTGCCTTGTTTGTACCTGACTCACTTTAAGAATTTCTTAGAGTTAGAAAGTGGGATCTGAGGAGGTTTTAAAGTACAGATGGGCTGTCCAAATGCTACACGTTTGTGTGAAGGTGATGAATCACTCCTGAGACAATGTTTGCAAAGGTAGCATCTCTTTGGTGTTGCTTGCTGTTGTTCTTTTCTGCCCCCTGAGGCTGAAGCCGTGTGGTAGATGGTGAGCAGACATGGTAAGGAGAGGACCACAGCTCCATGGAGCACAAAATCTAGGATGAATGTGACACGTATCAGAGGTGGTCTTTGAAAAAACAGGTGTCTGTGGTATAAACCACTGTTCATCCTCCCTCTATAGTCTGTGGAGAGAAAGGTGCCTTCATATCCTATCCTAAAGCCTGGGCTTAGACAGCTGTCTGCACTTGAGCTATTAACCCTGACAGTCTGGTTACTTTGAAGTTTAGGTTGTAATTCATCTGACAGATGTTGGCCTCTGCCTTAGGATGGGACTGTGAGGAGCCTAGAGCCCACTGACTACAACATGAGTCCAGAGCACATAGTTCACACAGTAAATAACAACAGTCCTTCACCCTGAGTGAGGTAAATCCCACTCCAGAGCAGTACCTCAAATGGATAGGTACAAATCATATACATTGCTGGTGCTGAGCCCTCCTGGAAAACATGCCTATGCTTATCTGAAAAAATCCAGAGATGGAGTCAATAAAAAGTAGCTGTTCTAGGGAGCTGCATCTTTCCCAGGCTTCAAATAGGTCCAACTGCAAAACAAGCTGAAGCTTTTCTGAGCAAGAGCTCAGTCACTTCAGCCACCCCCCTTCCACCCCCCGCCCTGTTTCTTTTCCTTTCACTACAATCACAAGGTGTCTCTCCTCCTGTAGATCTCCAAGGAAATCTCTGGGAGTTACCGGAACCAATCTCACAAGCAAGATGAACACCCAGATGTGAGCACCAAACAGCACGAGACGTCAGAAAATGGCAGTGTCCAGTCGATGACACATGTGCCACCACTTTTCTTGCCTTCTTCCAATGCAGAAGAAATTGATAACTTCCCAAAGTCTTCTACAGCTTCCACCATCATCTTTGACCAGGAAGAGAGACAGGAAGAAGTGGAAGAAGAGACTGAGCATGAGAAAGAAGTGAAGTCTATCCTCAAGACAGACAGGCACATGGCAGATAATGGCTACAAAGCTGTGTGGTTTAAGACTGATGTGGATCCAGATGCTGGAGAGAGGGTTGAAGTGATTGAGGACAATGCAGCAGATGATGATGATGACAGCAACCACGATCTGCAGAAGAATGAGGAGGAGGAGGACGAGGATGAGGACAAGGAAGAAGAAGATTATGACAAGGACTATCACCACGGAGGGCTGGGAGTGTCCTTTGCCTCAGAGAGCTCATCACTCCCAGCTGCAGAAGTGATAGTCAACATGTCTTGCATAGACGGAGTGACAGAAGACGCCAGTGATGTACAATGAAAATAGGCCTGCACTCTCCCCCCAAAAATGGGGGAATCTCAGCTGCTTTGCTGACATGAAGCCCATCTTTCTGCATGAGGGGGAAACTGGAATGCAGGAGGACGAGGCTGCCTGTCCTGCTTGTCTGAATGCAGAGATTAAAGCTGGAAGAAGTTACAGCTAATTCAACCTTTTAGTGAGACCTTGAAATATCACTTAGGATTTTGGGTGGGGGGAACACATGTCCCATGTCTCCACCTTCCTGCCTGTTCCCCTGGGGTCCCTTACATCACATTTCCTAAACTAGCTGTGGGTACAGCAGAGATGTAGCTGCACTGACTTTGACGCAGTTAGTCCAGCTCACGGTAGCAATTTAGTTACACCTCTCAGTGTTCATCTCCTCTTGGTGGGTAAATAAGCCAGCGCTGACTGCTTGGCTGTTCCCTTTCGGGTGTTAGCGTTTGATGCCAGCTGCAGGGTGTAAGCCAGCGCAAGTCACCCTGACCCTGCAGTTGCTCATATGACTGTATCCAGGAGCTCACTTCAGGGCTTGTCTCTGCCCTCCGCCTTGCCAGACTCCATGCTCCCAGCACAAGCAGCTGGCAATTGCCACTATGGTCCTCGTCCTGCCAGCAGCCAGGAGTTTACATGCTCAGGAGCTGCTGTTTCCTCTATCACTGGTAAGCAAGGACTGATCACATGTTCTTTACTGAAGGACTTTGTCACCAATTTTTCTATGTCATAAAACCACTAATTGTGCAGTACTTCTTTAGCCGTCTGTCTCCTATCTGTCAGGGAAAAGAGCAGCTCCTGCCAGGACCTGCCTACAAAATCCCAGGGGTATTTCCAGCTCTCCGGGCTTTTGGCAGCAATGGGTATCATTCCAGGGGTGCTGGATGTGGGGTCAGTGCGTTGTTTCCCATTGCTTCCCTTGTCCAACAGGGCTCAAGGTGTCCCTTTTATCATTGCTGCTGAAGGCAGAGGTCAGCATTAACTCCAAGTGCCAGGTGGCACTGCCATTTCCCTGCTCCTCTCGTCTCAGATGTCAACCCCTTTGCATACCGCCTTTCTCCATTCATGAGGAGCCCAGCAGGTTCTTTTGCTGGTAAAATACCATCTTTCAAGCTTCACCTAGAGCTCAGATGCAGCCTGAGAGCAGAGGTGGTTCACTGAGAGCAAGTCAGATCTGCTGTGCTTGACTTATGAGTTCTGGCTTGAGCTAGAAAGCCTTCTGACCTCTGGATTGACTTCATGGGGTGACAGCACCATAGCGTGTTGGACCCCTCCTCCCTCACTCCTTCCTCCTCTTTCAGCAATATTGTCTTCAATTATGGTCCTGCCAAAAAGCCCCAATTCAGCAAAGTGAGCACACCGTTTCCAGGCAGCATGGGGACTAAAGTGTTTGATGCTCTGGTCTAGATTTATGCCTCCCATCAACCAATCTCTTCCCCTACCTGGTAACCCAAAGCTGGGCTGATTTCCACTGTCTGAAAATATGGCTGTCTGCATTTGCATCTTGTGATCTATCAGCACAAAATTTGTGCTGCTCCTGGTTTTCTTATTTTGGGGCTAGCTACAGGGCAGACATGGGCTGTTGAGTGTTTAACTTCCAGTAAAAAGCTCAGGAGTGTCCAAGACAGGGATGCAGCAGAAGGAGCTTGAGTCACTAATGTTTATTTCACTTTCTCAGCTTAGCACAACAGCATGGGATTGCAACAAGGTAAGTCTCCTGGTAAAGAAGCAAACCCAATAAATAACCCTGCCTTTTCCCAACAAGCCAATCTCCACATTGCTGCTATTACTCCACATAAACCCTTGAGAGAGAGAAAACAAAGTATGGCTGCTGGGATCCGCATGTACACCAAAGCGCAAATTATTTCCAAGGAGGCTTTAATCCTCTTGGTCCATACTTTATTTCTGTACATCTCCCTATCCCAGTGTTGCTAGTGCCCAGTTTTGCTCTCCTTTCTCTGAGGAGCGCTGCCCTTGCTGTGTGGACTTCAGGAGCTGCACTTTTGCTGAAGGTGGAGATTGAGATGTGGAAAGCTTTCCTCCTTACTGCAATAAAGCTATTTGCCCAGAAATTACAAGTGCAGTTTGTCTAATAACAGCGGGTGGGGAGTGTGCCCTGTGTTTGCTGTGTAAGCATGTCCAGTAGCTTAGGGTTATCTCCAGCAAATATTTCCCATGGGACTGTGAGAACTCTCCAGTAGTTGCTAATTGCTAGCCCATCATTTTGGCAATGCAGGATTGTGTCCCAGGTCAGTGGCTGACATAACCCAGTTTACATGGAACAAGGGGTGATCTCTGTGGAAGCAAAGCAGAAAGCAGAAGCAGATGTTGCACTAATGCAACAGCGAGTGCTCCCCATCAGATGGGCAAAGGGCACAGACACAGCACTGTGCTTTCTAACCCATATGGGTCTGGGAAAAGGACAGAGGAGGTTTGAGAGAAAGAGAAAAGTGCAGATAAAAGCAACTAGGTGTTCACCAGCCCCTCTGCCCCAGTTTTCTGCAGTTGGGACCAGTGCTTATCAGAACGCAGTTATTGTTATTCACAGCTCTGTAACGTGGGTTGCAATTGGTCATTCCTGCCTCAGTGCATTCATAAGGAGCTTTGAATTATTTTAAGGCATAATGACCTGAAAAGTGACTGACTGGCATTGGGAAGGAGAGCTGCAGATTGCCAGATCCCATCTGCCTTCAATGAACCAGGAAAAACATTTCTGAGAGAAATGCTGACACAGCCAGACCTGTTTACTGAAAGCAAGGGACAGGGGACAGGCTCAAATCAGCCCGGGTGCAGCTGGAGATGTGCAGTCAGGGGGTGCCAGTCTGGTATCTACAGCAGCATGGTGAATTTGGCCCCACCAGCTGTTACCAAAGCTGATACCACCACATTGATGAAGGGACACAGGCGTAGGCACACACAACGCCCCTAGACCAGCTGCCCCCTCAGTGTGCTAGAGCAGAAACACCTCTTCATTGCCTGCAGCATTTGGCTAGCCTCGGGATTACTTGAGGCACAACTTTCTTCTCACTTTTATATTTGGAGACTGTATTCCTGTGGACTGTCCTTCTCTAACTCTTCTTTCTACACACCTGGAGAAAGGAAAAATCCTTTTCTGCTTGTCCAGAAGACTGTTTCAAGATACCTATGACCAATGACTGAACTGAATGGTTTCCAGCAGAAGGCAGTTCGTGTGGGCTGACACAGCGTAGCTGCTCCATTTCCCTCATGGCTGTGCCATATGTGATCAATTCCTGTCCATTGGCACGCTGTTGTCAGTCTGTCTTCCCTCTGCTGCTGTATTGTTTGGGCTTCTGGGCACATGCGTTGGCACACTGATTTATGAGCTCCCTCGATTTGCAATCTACTCATTTGTTGGTGCTTCACCTTCCCCTCGTTGGTGTGCTTCTCATGCTTTTGGCCTTTTGTGTTGGCATGCTGTTTGAGTGCAGGCACCCTCAGTTTGCAATTCGTTGGCTGTTGGTGCCCTGGCTTCCCTCCGCTGGCATGCAATTGAAATCCCGCCAATGTGCCACTCACCTGCCAGGCTCCCTGTTGGCAGTTCATTCCTCTGCAGCCCCAGCTGCTCTGTCTGTGTCCCCCGCAAGCTTTCATGTTCTTGTTCTTTTATCCTGCAAAATTCCAACTAGGAATACCCAGAAGTTTGCACTTGTTAAGACAAAAGTTAAACTGCCGCACTCAGAAGGGAAAATGTGTGTTCAAATAGTGCTGTCACATGGACAGCAAAGGCATCTGTCTTCTATTCTACACAGCTTGAATGAGAAAGCAGAAAGTGAAGGCGCTTCTGCCAACTCCTTCCTGCACTCGACCCTTCCTTCAGAGCCTTGTGGTGAATTGGGGT